CCTCCGCTCATCCTATCAGGGCCGTGCGAGCTGAGCACAGCCGGGAAAGCAAACCGCGGGTGTTTCCTGGTTCTGCCCACCCCATACGGCTCTGCCGCGGCCCTGGCGGGATGAGCGGAGGTTTTTAAAATAATTCACTTTACCTTCGAAGGCAAAGGGAAGGCGGCCACAGGAGCGCCTGAAGCCAAGTATACCAACAACAAAAGGCAAATCCTCAAGGTGGGCTGGAGGGAGGTGGCTACGTGCCCCCCGGGCTGCTTCAATGCAAGGTCCTGACTTGCAGCATCCTGCTTTTCGCTGCCGCCTCCCTCTCCGACTGCGAAACTCGTGTGCTTCGCCAAACGCTCCGAGCGAGGCGAGCTCTTTCATACATAGAGAGAGAGGGAAAGACGCCGGCGTGCTCCGAGAAGCTGGCTCTTTTCTCTAGCCGAGGCTGACATCTGACTGAATCTCTATCCCGCTCCTTTATCCTCACGACGGGGTCGGCAGTGACGCTCTCTGGTGCGGCCACCTCAGCTTGCCAGCCTTGCCCCGCTATGAGACGTTACTGTGACAGCCGCTGCTGCCGCACTCCCTTCTCTTTCCTCGCCTCTCCTCCCTTCGCCGGCAGGAGTGTGCGCGCCTGCTGCCACTGCCGCCGCTCCTGAGGCCATCTGGGGCGGGCAGGTGGGAAAGCAAGCAAGGTGGCTGCGCTGTCTTCTTTTTCCCTCAGCGAAGCGCCGCCACTTGCCGCCGCCACCTGCGATGGGCGAGGAGGCGGCGGAGGCACCCGAAATGTCACCAAGGCAACGAGTGCCTCCCCGCCGGGCCCTCCGCTCATCCCGCCAGGGCCGCGGCAGAGCCGTATGGGGTGGGCAGAACCAGGAAACACCCGCGGTTTGCTTTCCCGGCTGTGCTCAGCTCGCACGGCCCTGATAGGATGAGCGGAGGTTTTTAAAATAATTCATTTTACCATCGAAGGCAAAGGGAAGGCAGCCACAGGAGCGCCTGAAGCCAAGTGTCTTCTCAGGGCTCCGGTTGCAGGGAGGAGCCCTGACTGGCTGCACGTGGCTGCGCCAAACGCCACGGCGTTGCTGTAACGCTACGGCAGCAAGGGAGAAGGGAAATTAACGGTGGCGGAAGGTCTCCCCAACATCCAAGCTGTCGCCGCCCGCCCACCCGAGGATGCAAGAGGGGGGGGGAAATTAAGTCACCCCCGAAAAGACGGCCTAGCCGGTTTTTCGGGGGTCAAAAAAAAATAAGGCCCGGCCTTATTATGTGAGAAACACGGTACTATTTTCTCAACCTTGGCCACTTTAAGACATGTGGACTTCAACTCAGCATGCTGGCTGGGGAATTCTGCGAGTTGAGGTCCACATGTCTTAAAGTAGCCAAGGTTGAGAAACATTGGATTAGAAGAAGGGTATTAAACTTGGCTAGTTTAAGACTTGTGGACTTCAGCTCCCAGAATTCCTGAGTTAACATGACTGGAGGAGGAATTCTGGGAGTTGAAGTCCACAAGTCGAGTTTGAAGATCCCTGGATTAGAAGATTTGAAGCCACCTTAATCTGGGCCAAATCAGTTTGTTCATCCGAATCAGTATTCTCTTTGACTGGCATCAGCTTCAAACGCTAGAAATCCTTTCTGTGACAGTTACTGGAGACTTTTTAAGTGGAAGCTGCTCAGATCTGAATAAAAAAAAGTAGATATACAAACTTGTAAACAAAGCCTGCACGAGAGACTTCATCAAGCCCACGAGTTTTAAAAAAAAAAATATTTGAAACGAGGTGTCTACTTCCTTCCTCCCAGGAAAAAAAATTACTTTCTTCTTCAAATACCAGAAATATTAAGTCATTAATTGTATTTTTATTTTTGCCACTATTATATAAACGGTTTGGGTTCTGCCTTCCCCAGAAATATGCTTTCCTGATGATATTGTCCAAGCTTACTATAGGACTTAATAGTCCAACCATGTGGATGGCTGTGATTTGGGAGTCAGACTGCAAATTTGGCTAATTTTAAATGGAAAAAAACCATTTTTCCCCCTCCATTTAGGAGGCTGCTCAGCTAAGTAGAAACATTGAAAGTAAATGTATTTATATTTGATTTGAAAAAAAAAAAAAAAAAAAAAAAGGTTATTACTTGAATGGAAGATCAAAAAGAAATTTGCAGATCTGTGGCAATTTTTTAAAAAAATCCACAAGGGGGCAATATAGACAGACTTAGAACTTAGAATAACTTTGTCGTTATATACGCTAATCTGCATTAAAAAAAAATTGTATTCAACTCTCAAAGGCTCTCCACCTCTAATATACACTACATAAACATGACAAAATAAATAAATAAATACATACATACATACATACATACATACATACATACAAAATTATGCATATACCCACATATATTATAGGACATGGAGTAACAACACGGTCTAGTTTGGATGTATAGATGTACATGGTGAGAAAAACAAATCTTGCAAGTTTACCAGATGGATGGCATAGGGAAAAAAGCTGTTACAGAATCTGGAAGTCCTGCTAGAAATACTTTGAAACCTCCTCTCAGAGGGGACCAACAGAAACAGACCGTAAAGTGGGTGCGCGGGGTCTCTAACAATAATGCTTTGAGCTCCAAGCACATAACGCTTATATAAGCAGTTTCCCTGAATGACAGGAAAAGCACTTCCTATCATCTTCTCGGCTGTCCTCACAATATAGCTACATTTCTAGGTAAGGCCAAACAGGAAACCTATCAGATGAGCTAATTTTTACTTTATTGTAAAAGCTTCCTTCATAGAATCTTGCAAGTCTGAAAGTATGATTCTCCTGCTGTTTCATTTATAGCCTGAGAAGCTAGGGAGGATCTCTTCTGAACCTCTTGTTCCACCCACTATGCAGCTGCAGACTATGCTATTGTCAGGATTTGATTGTTGTCTGTCTTCTTTGATTGTTCCCTGTGCCAGGGGTGTCCAACCTTGGCAACGTTTAAGACTTGTCGTCGAAAACTCCCAGAATTCCTCTGGCTGAGGAATTCTGGGAGTTGATCCACAAGTTTTAAAGTTGCCAAGTTTGGAGGCCTCTGCCCTAGGAAGCACCACTGCTGTGGTAGCGCAGTGGTTAGAATGCAGTACTGCAGGCTACTTCTGCTGACTGCCGGCTACTTGCAATTTGGCAGTTTGAATCTCACCAGGCTCAAGGTTGACTCAGCCCACCATCCTTCCGAGATCGGTAAAATGAGGACCCAGGTTGCTGGGAGCAATATGCTGACTCTGTAAACCGCTTAAAAGCACTGTGAAGCGGTATATAAGTCTAAGTGCTATTCCTATTGCTACTTCGTCTGTGATTCCAAGATCATTCCCACATAATCTTTATGGACACTACTACCTTTACATAACTCTAAACTCACCCAAACTTGGAGGGAAACTTTAATTATCTGCATGGATCTCGTATTATGACCACTCATTCAGCAACTTTTAAAAGTTGTGATGGCGCCAAACAAAGGGTCCTCAGAATTCCAGCTATTGTAGCATCCCCCTGGTCATGTGATTGTTGATTAAGGCACTTGGAATCCTGCTCGCAATTACAACCATTGCAATGAGTTGTGGTCATATTACTACGATTTCCAACATTCTCTGCTGGCTTCCAACAAGCAAAGTCAATGGGGAAGCCGACAGGAAATTGGAAGTCACAGTCACATTATATCCTTGCTTAACAACCTTAACGGCAGCAACTGGGACTGCCAGAATTTCTTTTGCTAATCGATGCAGTCATGAGATGTCATGCTTTATGACTGTGTAACTTAGCAATGGCTACTCTGGGCCCAATTGCTGTTGTAACCTAAGGACTTACCTATGCTCCATTCAAAGCAAAAAACCCCGATCCACTTCTCAATGATACTCACTTCAGTCTGATCGCATCTTCACCCACAGGATCTCTCCGACAGCGACGCTTCTTGCCTTGGCGGGGTGCAAATCCTGGCGGGAGCCAAAGCGATCCGTGCTCCCGATGTTGAGGTCGACGGATTCTCCACACCCCGATAAAGATCACCAGAGCTAGCACGAGTGCCCCAACACCCACGCAATAAATGAGGGGCCCAGAGAAATGGGAGACGGAGGGCTGGGAATCTGGTTGAGGGAAAAAGAAGATGGTCAAATATCCACCTCATTCTCTTCCCTGTTGCCTCCATTTTTAAACCCATCTACATCAGGGCTCCCCAGTCCCCAGTCTGTGGACCAGCACTGGTCCGTGGCAGGCCAGCAACTGGGCCACACAAACAAGAAAAGACATATTTGCAGGATGCAGGCAATACACAAAACCAGCCGCAGGGGTGGGCTGCTGGGGGTTCGCAGGGTTTGAGAGATCCTCGAGCTAAGATTCTGTGCAGTTCAGAGAACCCCCAAATCCCAGTCCTGGCTGGCCCCACCCACCCCACCCTGTCCCTCCCAGGAGTCTCTACATGGCCTGTTTTGGATGCAGGTAAGTGCAGGTAAGTGCACAGAGGCTCGGGGAGGGCAAAAAATGGGCCTCCTGGAAGTTGGGGAAGGCCGAAAATGGGCCCGTTTCTGGCTTCCAGAGAGCCTCCGGAGCCCAGGGGGGCCATTTTTGCTCTCCCAGAGGCTCAAGGAAACCCTCTGGCGCCTGGAGAGTGCAAAACCACACACACCCCGCCATGGTGCAGGAGGCCGACTAGGACATGCCCACCATGGCCACGCCCATCCAGCAACTGGGCAGAGAACCCCTTGCTAAATTTTTTGAAGGCCACCCCCTGACCAGGCCCCCTCCAGTCCAGGGAAAAGCATCTCTCCACAGAACTGGTCCCTGGTGCCCCAAAGGTTGAGGGCTGCTGATCTACACTACACACCTTACATCAGTTTCATACTAGTTCAATGATCAAAGCTTCTCCTTCTAAAGCCAAGAATTTGGGATTGAGGGACGGGCTGAGAATTTCCTATGAAATAACCTCGCTGAATTTCCACCCACAGTGAAACACCACGTACAGATAGTCCTCAGCTTACAATTGTAATACAACTGTTATGGTCGTAAGACATTACAGTCGTAAAACAGGTCAGCCAAAGTTGTGGGTAACCCTTTTGTCTAGTGGTTAAGACGCCAGACGCTAGAAAGGCAGAAGACCGTGAGTTCAAATCCACTGTAGTATCCCCACGGTCACGAGATCAAAATTCAGATAGCAATAGCCTTCAGCATTTAGACTTGTATACTGCTTCGCGGTGCTTTACAGCCCTCTCTAAGCCGTTTATAGAACCTATTGGCCCCAACAATCTGGGTTTCATCCACCTCAGAAGGAGGGAAGGCTTGATGCTTGGTAACCGACTCATATTTATGATGGTTGCAATGTACAAGGGTCATGTGATTCCCCTTTGGCGACCTTTTGATGAGCAAAGTCAGATTCATTTAACAGCTATGTTACTAACTTAACGACTGCAGTGATTCACTTAACAACTGTGGCAAGAAGGGCCACAAAATGGGGCAAAATTCACTTAACAGATGTCTCGCTGAGCAACAGAAATTTGGGGCTCAAACTGTGCTCCCTGTCGAGAACTACTTGTCCACAAGGGTGCGAGAGGAATGCGCAGGAGACACCGTGTGTGTTAGGGTGGATGCCACACCTTCTCTTTCTGTCTCTGTCTTTGTCTCTGTATGTCTCTCTCTGTCTCTCTCTCCCCCTTTCTCCCTCTCTGTCTCTGTCTCTCTCTGTCCCCCTCCCTCTCTGTCTCTGTGTCTCTCTGTCTCGCTCTCCCCCTTTCTCCCTCTCTGTCTCTCTCTGTCCCCCTCCCTCTCTGTCTCTGTCATTCTGTCTCTCTCTCCTCTCCCTCTCTCTCCCCTCCCTCTC